AATGATGATCTTGGGGCACTTGGTCTCTCGTTTGCAAGGTTCACACGGATGTTTCTACCATTCAGCTCCTGATCATACCCAAACCCACAAAAAAAAATTCTAATCAGAGACAAACTTTTAGAAACAGAACAATGTATATTACTATGCATCAGATATTCTTTCTAACCTTCCCGTCCATTTCTGATATGGCAGTGTTTGCTGAATCCTCACTGCAGAAACTGACAAATCCAAAACCCCTTGACCGCCCAGTCTCTCTGTCGGCAATCACCGTTGCTACACAACCAAAGACACAACTTTCGTGTAAGGCATATATAAATCATACTAGTCAACAACATAAATTGGCCCTAGATACTGCAAAGCTAAAAACTGATAACCGTATATCTAACATAACTAAAACAATCTTGAATGGTTTTTATATACATGTAGTCACTGTTGCAGCACAACCAAAGACACAAATTTCTCATTTTCCAAAATTATTGAATCAATGAGGAATATATAACCATGCTCAATCACATAAATATGTCTCCGGTCACTTATAAAAACTACACACCAATATAATATCACAAATGTTCATCATAGTATACAGAATTAAGCAAATAACACAAGTGAGACATTCTTGAAAGGCTTACACGCCCTTAATCACATAAAGCCAATCGGAATCAAGAAGACACTTTCTATTGTATAAAAACAATAGTAATGAAAAGGAGACAGAACCAATGGCTTACCTTCTGTCACTTCGCCAAAGTTAGAGAAAGCTTCCTTCAAGGATTGGTCGTCAGTTCCCCAAGAGAGACCTGAAAGCAATGTACAAAAGAATAAAACATTAAAAAAACCACATAACAGTGAAAACAAATTCAATCAAAGCTAAAGATATACACACTTACCACCAATAAAGAGCTTGGTGGACATGTAACGGAGAGAGCCAAGCATAGAAGTCACTGGAACATTTGAGCTCTGAGAAACACCTTGTCTCAAAAATCCACTAAGTTTGTTGCAGAACGCCATTTCTATATGTCTGTACACAAAATGTAAAACCCAGAAAACTAAAATCAACAAAGCAGCCATAACTAATCGATTCCATTTCTAGATGTCTAAACAGAAATCTACAATCAAAGCACGAGCAAATTACAAGAGCAGACAAAGATCGATGAGAATCCATTGCACAAATGACAGATACCAAACGCAACGCATAAGCTATTACGAGCATCAAAAGGGGGAAATGAAGCAAACCTCAGCGAAAACGTAATGCCAAAATTAGGGTTTTGCGGAAGTAACAGTGAGAGAGTAAAAGGAGGCGGTAAGAAAGAGAGAGTGAAGACAAAGTGTAGTAGGGTTTAAGGGATTTATATACAGAGCTCAGAAACACTCGTTTTTTTCTTTCTTTAAAGCTTTAAATTGTTTTGTTTCGCCGAAATTGATCACATGTGGTTCGGTGTATTGTATTAGTATGTACTACAGTTGAATAGGCGGACGAGATGTGAAACAGTCAATAAAGTATAGACGAATTAGCGGTAGGTCTACTGAATCTAGAATAGACCTGTTCGTAGGGAATCAAGTTCCCGGATTTATCTAACTTCTTTTTTCTTCCTTTTGTAGCCATGTCAGCTTGTTCTTCTATTTTGTTTATTCCCATCAAATATTAGCGACATGACCAATAGCCCATTATAAGATCCAAAAGCCCATTATTATACAACAAGAATTAAAGATTAGTTTTCCTATGGTTCCAAATAAAAGAAAAATGTGTCAATTTCAGTAATATAATCGAAATACAGAGGGAAAAAAAATCGAAATACAGTAGCCGAAAAAGAAAAGATAAAGATTTCACAAATCCACACATATAGTATATAGTATACTCGTGTATTATTCGCGTCCTGCGCGGGTTTTTTTATAGATAATGATCATTAAAAAAAAAAGATATTGTTCATTTGAAAGATTTAAAATCAAATATTAAAATCAAGAAAAATATCTTATAAAAACTACATGTGAATAAAAA